TTATATTCCAATAATGTGTCCTAGAGTGTCAGATAAATTATCATATCATGTGAATTACCAAAATAGAACGAAGAAGATGCAAAACCCTGAGTAAAACAGTATCTGTCAATGAAACAGACAGAAATAAAAATCTTAAAAGCTAAGGACCTTAAGAATTCACCATAGAATTTTACCAAAACTTCAGAACAGAACTAATGCCAGTACTCCCCAAAGTCTTCCATGAAATTGAACAAAAAGGAAAACCACAAAACTCATTCATGAAAGGCAGCACTATCCTGATACGAAAACTAGGCAAGGACTCAGCAACAACACAACATATAGGCCAAGTTCCTTAGTGAATACAGATGCAAAACTTCTCAACAAAATACTTGCTAAGAGAGTACAACAAGTCATTAAATAGTTCATACATTATAGCCAACTTGGTTTCATCTCAAGGATGTAAGAATGGTTTAACACATGTACCAATTAATGTAGTATATATATATATAAGGACAAATACTCATATGATCATCTCAATAAATGCAGAAATACCTTTGAAAAATTAAGCATACATTCATGATAAAAATCCTCAATGAAAATATACACAAATAGGCTTGTTATAAGCTGATAAAAGCCATTTATGAAAAACCCACTGCCAAATTCATACTAACTATGAAAACAAAGTATTTCCTCCAAAATGAAGAATAAATAAGAATTCTACTCTCACCATTCCTTTTAAATATGGTGCTCAAAATTTTAGCTAATTAGCCAAGAGAAAGAAAATAAAGAGTTCAAATAAGAAAAGATGGAGTCAAACTATTATTATCTGCATATTATATAATCCTTTACATAGGAAATCCAAAAATTTTCATCAGAAACTTTTATAAATAATAATTAAATTCAGCAAAGTGGTATGATACAACATACAGAAATAAAATTCAATAGTGTTTCTGTACAAAAAGAGTGAATTCATTGATAAAGTGAAGAAAACAATTCTATTCATAGTAGTTTCAAAAAAGCATTAAATAGGAATTAATATAATCCCAAAAGTAAAATACTTGTATAATAAAAACTATATTTCCCTGGAAAAAAAAAAGGAATTTAGCAAGACATTAGAAAACGAAAAGACATACATTGTTCTTGGATAGGGAGAAAAATGTTGTCTAAATGGCCATGTTACCAAAAATTATATATAATTAGTAATGTAATTCCATTCAAAATGCTATTGGCATTTTTCAATGAAGTAGGAAAAACATTTTAAAATTTATATGGAATTTGAAAAGAACTAGAATAGCCAAAGCAGTCTTGAATGGAAACAAAGCAGGAGTCATTACAATCCTAGACTTCAATTATAATACAGAATAACAGTAGTAAAACAGCATGGTACTGACACAAAAACAGAAATGTTAAAGAGTGGCATAGAATAGAGAATGCAAAAATAACCGAATTACCTTTAGCCATCTTGTGACCAAAAGGCTAATAAAATGTGTTGAAGAAAAGATAGCCTCTTTAACAAATGTTGTTGGAAAAATTGGTATTCAAGTGGAGAAGAATGAATTCTGATCCATATGTCTCACCCTGTACTAAAATCAAATGGAAATGGATCAAAGACCTATACAGAAAAACAGAAAAATTCCATTTTCTGTAAGAAAAATTAGTAAAACTCTTGAAGACAGCAACATAGCTAAAGGCTTCTTGAACAGAACCTCAGTTGCACTAGATATACCAAGAAGTAACAAATGGGATTTTACCACATGAAAAAGATTCTGTGCAGCAAAGTAAATAACACTTATAATAAAGGTAGAACCTAAGGAATAGGAAAAAACTTGCCAGCTATGCCACGGACAGACAACTAATATGTAAATCATATTAAAAAATAAAAATTAGACCCCTCCAAATTGAAAATCCAATAAAAATAGGCAATTGAAATTAATAGCCACATCACAAAAAGAACTAGCCAAAGTGATCAATGAGCACAAAAAAGATTTTTCAGGACATCTGACCATTTGATAAATGCAAATGAAAGCAACATGGAGATTATAATTCACTACAATAAAAATGGCTGTTATTTGGGACTCAGTAAACAAGTGCTGGGGAAAAAGGAACCCTCCTACATTATGTGGTAAATGTAAACTAGCATGAACAATGTGGAAAATAGTATGAAGATTCCCCCTAAAATGAAAAAATAATAGAAATTCCATTTGATTCAGCTATACCTCTTCTGCATATCTTTACCACAGAGCTAAGGTCATCATATAGGGATACTTGCATATTTGTGCATAGTAACACAACTCATAAAGCTAAATAATAGAAGCAGGCTATATGTCCATCAACAGATGAATGAATAAATATGGTGCATATATATAATGGAAAACTATTCAGTCATAAAAAGGGATAAATTTGAGTCATTTAGACAAAAATGGATAGAATTTTAGACCATAATACTAAGTAAAAAATTGCAGACACTGAAAGTTAAATATTATGTGGTTTCTCTAATATGAGACTAGATATATAAATAAGTTAGGAACAAAATAAAAGAGACATGTTAAGTAATAAAGAGATAGACTCTATGAAGATGGGAAGTGGATCTAGGTAAGAAAAGATAAGGGTGGCCTGGGGGGCATAGAGAGCAAAGATGATCATAATGAACTATTTATGTTTAACAACCTACCAGGATGAATGTAATTATGGTATTTCTCAAATATGTACTTATAAAAATATTAAAAAGAAAAAAGTAAAGCTCCTTATTATCTTTCAAACAAGACATCTGATGCATCATGAAATAATAACGTATTTCAAACATTCCTTACTATGTAAAATGTATAAAACTTATTATCTTAGGAAGTCAGTTGGATAAATGTAAACTATTTTAGTTCAATAGTCTGAGGAAAATGCCCCTTGAATAAGGAGACATATTTGATAAAATTTTCTAATTTGTACAATAAAGTCCAGAAATATTTTGCTGTTTTTCTTACAAGATATATATTCAAAATATAGCATAGCAACTCCTTCAGAGTACATTCAGTTTCCCAAGAAAATCTCAATCTTTAAGATTTGAATATTTATAATTATTAAAATTTAAATTACTTTTATTTTACTGTGGTCAAGTAAGTAATAATGTGTTCCTACAAATCTAGTACACCTATCCCTAATTGCTTATAAAAGTAAAATACATTTTCATGTTAAGAAGTTTAAAAACAGAAACTATAATACATTTCTGTTAGTTTTATTTGTACATGAGAAACTGATTTTGTTAGTCAAATTGATTTGATGTTATTTATCTCTTTATAGGTTGAACTGTTGCCTACCTTCAAGATAATGTATATATTCTAAACCCCAGTAACTTAGAATGTGCCCTTAAATGGAAATTGGGTCTTTAGAGTTGTAGTCAAGTCAAAATGAGGTCTTTAGGGTGGGCCCTAATCAAGATGGCTAGCATCTTTATAAAAATGGAAAATCAGTACACAGGTAGCCACACACAGAGGGAAGTCAATATGAAGGTGCATATAAAAGATTCTATGTGAAGGCAGAAAATTGTAGTGGTTATGTATGAGACAAGGAATACTTGCTATCAGAACTTAGGAGCCAGGCATAGAAGAATATTCCCTGGGAACATTAGAAGGGTCATAGCCCTGCCCACACAGTGATTTCATATTTCTGGCTTCCAGAACTATGAGGTAATAAATTTTGTTACTTTAAACTACCCAGTTTGTGATACATTGTTGTAAAAATCCTGTGAAACTGACACATTACCATAATTCAAAAATGTCTAAGAAACAATTCCATAATTTAACTGGGCTTGAAATGATTCCATGCATCAAGTAGAACAATGTAAACCCTCTGCTGGTTCCAAAAACAATTGCATAGAAGATTTTGGCCTTTAGATGTTATGTAATTACCATAGCCCTACTGTGATTTTGTACTCTGTACTTGTTTTCTCCATCAAGCTTAATAGAATTTTTGGAATGTGATTTGAAGCTCTACTTTTCTAGACCTTTTAGAATACACATTGGTTTATATATCTTTCCATTTATATGGTTCTTTTAAAATTCATTTTATAATGAATGAACCAAGATAAAAATTATGTTTTAAATTATTATTTCTGAGATATCATAAAATATACAATATATTGAGATATTTACACAAAGTACATATTCTATTGTTATATTTTTGGGTTTTTTAAATATGAGCTTCCTGTGTAGTTCATTTTGGCCTTGAACTTACTGTGTAGTCAAGACTGGCCTCAAACTCACAGCGATTTTACTGCCTCAGACTCTCAAGTGCTGGGGGTATAGGGATGTACCATCACACCCGATTGACTTCACATATCTATTTGTTGGTCTGCTTTTTGTTTTGCACCATTGTTTATTTTATTTAAAAAAGAAAAAAATAACAAAATTTCAAAACACAATAATTAGAGGATAACAATGGTTAATACAGTGCATATTATTATCTTTAAATTAATCAGAGCACATGATACCTGCATTTCACTGTCCAAACAATATTAGCATAAATCTTTCTTTTCAATGAATTAAGAGAAATTAGTAGTATCACTAGCTTAACTATTATATATATAACTAGATATATTATATATTAAATACATATAATATACATTATATATATATATATATATATTATTTCTTTCAGATTCTAATACTAGGGAAAAATACAATTTTTACACATGCATGACTTCACATATCTTAACATCAGTTTCCCTTTCAGTAAAATAGAGAAAATAATATTTTACATGACAAAATGAGTATGAAAGTATTAATGATGGAATGAAGAGCTGTAGCCATAATGACATACTATATAACTCATGGTGATCTTGCCTGGTACTTGAAAATTGAATGGTATTTCAACCCTACAAAAGAATCATAGTTCAAAATTTTATACTTCTGAAATAAGTTTTTAAAGTATTTGTCTGATTAATATTTGGCTTTTCCAATTTTTATAACTATGTTAATATATTCATAATTCAAAATTTTATAATTTTATGTTTTAAAACAAATACTACTTACTTGATCTGTGTTTAGCTTTTCCACTTTTCTTATTGTTTTTTCATAAATAACATTATTTCCTGGGAAGAAATGGTTTCCTCTCATAAATGGAGACAGAGGTTCCTATAAAAACAGTAATGACCATGTTTTTTAAAATTATATTTTCCAATGAACCTTAAATTAAGCAAATATCAAAGCTTTTATAGCATTTGAGGTAATATCAGATTTCAGGAGGAGAATGGAATGACCTGAATAATGTTCTAATAGATATAAGGAACAGTAATAATTATAATCTACTTTAACAAACAGAACAATATGAATCTCTCCTTCCATTCACTGGGTCCTTTGGGGAGATTGAAAGGGGATAGAAAAGTTTTTTTTCTCTGCTCTAAGGTAAGATATAATTTTTTCTCTAAGGCAGAAAAATCTGGGGTCAATCTCATTTAGATTAGGTTCACTAATAATTTTCTATGAAAAATTATCTGAGAAATACAAAATAAATATGATTCTAGAGCTACTAAGCCATATATCAAGTAGCACTGTAAACAATATTTTCTTTACAGTACTCAGTTTTGGTACCCTTAAAAGTATACAATTCTTGTGATTTTTTATTAAGGTTGAGACTCTCAGTATAACATATACGGAATAGAAGGTGTAGGAGGCAGTGTATCTCTAAGTAATCAACTAAAACATTGTAGGTTTATTCAATTGTTTAGAAGGTATCAGGCAATTAAATAAAGGCTGGTGACATGTCCAAAGTCTGACTGAAACCAGAGATAGATTAATAAGAATCTGGTCAGGAGTCTAAAAATAAATGTGACATATGCTAAAAGCTTTTCCTTTCCTTTGGTTTTCATTTAAGTCTTGCATTATGAGAGCTGGATTTGTTTTGTTCATTTATTTGTTATAAAATAAGAATTGTAATCATTTATTTTGCAATGTAATAGAATTATATAGAAGTGGTTATAGCCAAGGCCATTACCAATCATGTGCTTAGCAACATTTTAAAATAAACAAAATTTACTAACATATTTGAAATATACTATTGTAAATATTCTTAGAATAATTGCAATAAAACACTGCTTGTTTCAAAGGGAAGATACTGTTGAACCAAAGTTCTATGCTTCTGGCATCCAAATTTGAATAAATGGTGTTTTGAGTTAATGTTCCTTAGATACTGTGGTAAAACAAATGTATAAGTGACTAAATTTTGCTAGTTGTTGAATTATTAAACCTAAAGATGGATTATTTATACAAAGATTCTTGTAAAATCCATTTTTTGTTTGTTAGTTATTTTTAAAGAGTCTCTTTGCAATCATTTAACACCTGTTTTAGTGCCTTATAAGCATCTGTACTTTGCTAAGTGTTATGAAGCATTCAAATGTGAATCAGGCATCATCAAGAACATTTGATATTGATCAGATTTCATAATGCTTGGCCAACAGCTCTCTTGTTTTGAGATGTCCTCGAGGTAAAAATGGTAGTTAGATATTTGTTTATTTATTTATTTATTTATTTATTTGCTTTTGGTATGGAGAATCAAACTCAGGACCTTGTGCTTGCCAGACAGACACTTATGCCTCTGAGCTATGTGCCCAGCTCTAGATTCTTAAAGGATGATAAATAAAAAGATACAAGACCCTATGAGTCTTGCAACCGTAAAATTTTACCATCTGAGTCTTTACAAGAAATTTTATAAATCATTGATCTAGATAACATATGATGGCAAACATTGTCACACAAAGGAGAAAGTGACAAGTGCCAGTAAAGGTGCATGAAAGAACTTGTAGGATGGTATTCAGAGGATAAAAAACTGGGCTCAGTCTAGTAGTGCTCAGTTGGATACTAGGATCATATGTCTTGTGAAAGAAAGTTAAGGTCATTTTTTGATGTAACAGATATGGAGATGAAAGAAAAAGTTATTCCAAGCAAATGAAACAAAAAGAATTCATGGTGCCAAGTTTAGAAAAATGTAGGTTCTATATAGGGTATACCTTTAGCAGATAGAGATTAGTTTTGTAAGCTGCAAAAATATTAAGTATTTAAAAAGTGTGAAAGGGTATGAGCTTGACAAAAGTCTATTTCAGGAGGATTAAGTAAAGAAAAAAAGTGAAGAGACCAATTATGAGATTATCCTAAAAATCAAGGACAACATTTTTCAAAGATGATTCTGAGATCCTGAACCTGAGGAATTGACTACATGGGCAATGGTTCCAAAAACAAAAACACCAAGACACTAAGTTTTAAGTGTTTCTTCTAGGAATCTAACTAAGATCTAGTTCTACAATTTCAAGGCCAGCTCTGAGTCTCTGATTCATATTTGTATTCCTTATAACACATATAAACCCCTTTAATTGTGTTAAATAATTGCAAGAAACTATCAAAGAGTTTCTAAAAAATTGTAGCATTTAGAGCAATGGCTAGCATGTGCAACATCCTGGATTACATTTCCAATACCAGATAAAGGCACACAACAGTATGGATGACCAATCAGATGTACCCATCTAGCATAGACCAAAGCACAGTTTTGGAACTAAGTGGGGAATTTAATGCTGCATAACTAGTTTTCAGGACCACTTACTTAAAAGTGTTACTAAATTGTTGTCCCCTAATTTACAAGTTTGAAATTTAGTTTTAGTTTTCTTTTCTTCTTTTTTTTTCCTTGAAATAAAATGGATTTTCAAAATAGTATTAGGTAAAACCATGTAGTATGTAAAAAGGCAAATAAAGACCAAAGACAGAACTAGACAGCAGTTAAGAAACTGAGAATCAAAAGACAAAAATATTATAGAAATTAAGAGGAGAAATTTTCAGGAAGGGATAAGGAGTTGAATATATAAATGTTTCAGAGTTATTAATTGGTGAGAACTACCATGTTGACTGGATTTTAGATTATTATAAACAAGTTGAGTTTGATTACTAACACCAGTGGGACCAGGTCCAATGGGAAAAATGTTATTTCTGCTCTTTCTCCACAGTCCACATGCTTGAGAAACTTAGGTAAATCATTAACCTTTTATGAAGTTCATTTTGCTTATCCTAGGGATAGTAATGTAGTGTATCGTATGTCAAGCAAAAAAATGTACTTTAAGGTATCCTTAATCAGTATGTTTAATGTTGAAATGTCACGGTTTTTAATAATGTAGTCAAAATAGTTAAGATATGTACTGTATTTAAAATAATTTTTAAGAGCCAAGAGTTTAGCTTAGTGGTATAAGTGTCTGCCTGGCAAGTACAAGGTCGAGTTTGATCCCTGGTACCAGAAATAAATAAATAAATTTAAATATCTTTAAAAATCTTATTATAACATTTCTAGGTTATTAAGTTTAAAATGTACAAAAGTAGGCTTACTGAAGAAAAGGATTTTATAGATTTTTGAATGTCATATAATAAATCAATAGGTGCTTGTATGATAATAAATGATATGAATTTTTGTCTTAAGCTGATGTTATTTTAATTGTCTCTTTTATAACTGTAGGCAGGAGTTATCACATCTAACAAAGTATATAATCCTAAACATTTATTTTACTATTCCTGGGCCACAAAGCTGAGCTAGAGAAAAATTTCCAAAGAATTGTTCATTAGAAGTTCAAGTTGTAGGGGCTGGGAATTTAGCTCAGCGGCATAAGTACCTGCCTTGCAAGTGTGCGGTTGTGAGTTTGATCCCTGGTACCAAAAAAAAAAAAAAAAAAAAAAAAAAAAAAAAAATGAAAAAGACAAAAAAAAAGAAGTTTAAGTTATAAAGTTATCTAACTTCAAGTGAGCCTCCCAATCTTTGTAACCATGCTATATGGATCAAATTCCATATGTTTTTTTTTCCATTTTTCTGAATCCTCTGTTATTATGCTCCTTCATTCTGTTTATGAAGAGGACCAAGACAACTACTCTCATCATCTCTCCATGTTTCCCTACACTTTAAAAACTCTCTTCAGTTTCTATTACTTATATCTCATTGAAGAGAAAGCCATATGGTTGTTTTCCTGAAGTCACTTCTATGAACCTGCAATCCAATCCTTTTAGCTTTTCTTTCTATTTTTGCTTTGCCTCCATATACCATTCTCCTACGGTCTCTAAGATTCTGTTTTCTCCTCTTTAGATACCACCACATCTAGTTTCTTTGTCCAGTATCTTTTTCAAAACACTCATTTCCTCTTTTTTTCAATTATTTTTGCAGTACACCATTAATACATTCATTGTGGGTTCTCAGTCTTGATAGGCCTCCACAAATACTGTATACTAAAATTAATTTCTCCAATATCACCTTTTATTTCTTAATGACAATGTGATTCTCAAACCTCATCCTCTGCTGCCTTTTGGTTATTTGAGATGGTTGACCAATTCCTTTATATTTGTGATAGTTGCTGAGATTACATTTTTTTCTGACATTAATACTTCCTGTGAAACTAGCTCCTTATATTGCATTAAAGTAGGCACTTCTCATGATCTTTTCTTTAAATATTTTAAATTTTTATTTGTACACATTTGCAAGGCATAATAATTGCAATCATACAGGGAAGTTGACACATATACATGTCTTAATTTTTTTTCACTTCTGTTTCCTCTCCCTTCTTTTCACCTCCTCTGGTCCCTTTCATTTTTGGAGAAGAAAAGCTTCTGCACAGCAAAGAAAAACATTAACAGAATGAAGAGACAAACTAAAGGATGGAAAACATTTCCCTCCTTCTACCTAGACAGAGAACTAATACCTAGAGTATATAAATAACTCAAAAGTATATGCTCCCAAATTTAAAACCCTATAAAAATGGACATCTGAAATTACTAGATTTGACAGAGTAATACTCCACTGCAAATAAATACTACATTTCCTTCCATTCATCTGTCAATGGACATATAGACTACCTCCAATATTTAACATTTGTTATTTGATTTCTTGATGATAGTCATACTCTCTATAATATGTTGTAGACTCTGTTGTTTTCATTTGCATTTCTTTAATGGCCTCGGGTACTGAATATTTTTCATGTATTTATCAGCCATTTGTACTTCTTTTTCTGTCAATTATCTATGCATTCGTGTTGCCCATTATTAACTGAATCTAATTTATCTGAGTTCTTCATATAATCTAGTTATTACTCCTCTGACAGAGGAATAGCTGGCATTTT